GTGCAGGAGCAGGTCAGCATCAGCGAGGAGCAGCAGAGCCTCTTGGAGGGGGGCTTAGAATCAGGCCTCCAGTCCCACGGGAGGAGATGCAGGTAAAGTACGTGCTCTTTTCCTCTGAAGTTGAAGTTGCCCCTATTTCAGGCCTTATTGCAACTTTCAGAAGTAATGTTTCACCACAGTAGTGATGTTAGCAAGCATTGTATCTTATTTCCCTGTTCATTGTCTACTTTGCACCTCAGCACCTCTTTGTCCTATTGTGGAGAATGTGCACACCTTTATCACCAGAACAAGACGGTGGTGTTGCTGCTCACCGAAAAGCAACTTGTAAGTTTCTCTTGAGCAGAATACAGAAGCTGCTGTGTAACATGTCATTTTTGCATCTCCCTTTTCTCTTCCTGGCTCTTCTTCCTACCATAACACTAATCTAGAGCACTGTATCTGGAGTCACGGCAGCATACGAGCGAGAGCAGTTGTGGCTGGCCAAAGAGAACCTGATGGTGAAGCTTCAGGCTTGTGGTCGAGGCTGTCTTGTCTGTCAGGAATTCAACTCCAGAATGAGGTTTTTGAAGAAGCGAAGTAGTGAAGGTAGCAAGTGCTATGGTTTTTTTTGTTTGTTTGTTTGTTTTGTTAACATTTTTGGTAGCAATATTTGTGGAGAAGACTTTTATCTGACCTGCTTTGGGATTCTTTCCTATAGATTCAGTCACTGACCAGGATGTATCAAGGCAGAAGGCGTTACAGAGATCACCTGCAATATTTCAGAGACCACATAAGAGATTGTGAAATGAATTCAGTATCTGACACTTTTTTTTTTTTTTTTTTTACTCTGCCCTTAACAAGTTTAAGTGGCTGGTTTTTTTTTTCCATTCTAGATAAATGACGTTATAAAAATTCAAGCCTTTATCTGAGGAAACAAAGCAGGAGAAGACTACAAAACCCTCAGTAAGTGTGGCCAAAAGAATAAAGCTAATATGCTTTGAATCTCTATTTGCAGAAAAATACTGTTAGTGAGATCTGCAACAGGAAGAGAGCTATGAAAATCAGTTGGGATGAAGTGGTGCAAAGAGTAGATAGGTAGGTAGGTAGGTGGCTGAAGGAAAAATTCCCTCTGGCTGAGGGAGTGGAATGCGCTGTCAGCAAGTTTGCTGATGACACAAAACTGGGCAGAGTGGCTGACACAGCAAAAAGCTGTGCTGCCTTCCAGCGAGACCTGGAGAGTTGGGTGGGGAGAAACGGAATGAGAAAGAACAAGGGCAGGTGTGGAGTCTTGCATCTGGGCAAGAGCAACCTGAGTACCAGTATAGGTTGGGGGCTGAGCTGTTGGAGAGCAGCGTAGGAGAAAGGGATCGGGGGATCCTGGTGGGCGGTAGGAGCAGCATGAGCCAGCACTGTGCTCTCGTGGCCAAGAGGGCATCCTGGGGTGTATGAGAAAGAGTATGGATAGGAAGTGGAGAGGTGCTCTTTCCCCTCTACTCTGCCCTGATGAGTGGAGCATCTCCCTGTGAGGAAAGGCTGAGAAAGCTGGGTCTCTTTAGCTTGGAGGAGACTGAGGGGTGACCTCGTTGATGTTTATAAATGTGTGAATACTGAGTGCGAGGAGGATGAAGGCAAGCTCTTCTCAGTGACATCCAGTGATAGGACAAGGGGCAATGTGTGCAAGCTGGAGCATAGGAGGTCCCGCGTAAGTAAGAGGAAAAACTTCTTCACAGCAAGGGTAACAGAACACTGGGATGGGCTGCCCAAAGAGGTTGTGGGATCTCCTGTGGAGACATTCAGCAGCTGCCTGGACATGTTCCTGTGTGCCCTAACCTAGGTGATCCTGCTCCAGCAGGGGGATTGGATGAGATGCTCTTTGGAGGTCCCTTCCAATTCCTGACATTCTGTGATTCTGTGCAAACTTGGTTCACAGTAGTACTTTTGCTGCTGGGAAATAGGAGCGCTGATCTATGGGGTAAGTTCAGCAAGGTGGACTCCCCTAAGCTGATACTGACTTCATCCTATAGCGTTGACTTCTGTCCTGATTTATTCCATGCCAGAAGTTCCAGATGCTGTCAGGAGTTATTTAAGCCCATTGGTGTTAATTTGATCCTGGACTGGCTGCTGCTTGACATGCTGTCTGCACAGAGGTAACACATGCATTAATTTGTTTCCTGTCCTCTGATGTTTTGTCTCTTGTTTTTAGTTAATGCTGAAAACCCACCTACGGCTGTGGTTGGGAAATTGGTTCACTTGCTCGATCGGACCCAGATTTTCAGGAGGAGCTGGAGCTAATGAAACTGTGTGAGGAAGCTGTGACCTTGATCTGATCTAATCAACAGCTTGAAAATGACCTCAATCTCATGGACATCAAGATTGGACTGCTAGTGAAGAACAGAGTGACACTGCAGGTAGGAAATGCAGTGCTGGGAGACGAGCAGAGTGAATTGAGGCCAATGGCAGTTAGCATGAGGACCTTCTGAGCCTGGATCTCACTTACTCAGATTCAGTGGGAAATATTTCCTCCAGAGTTACAGGTTTTCCTCCCAGTAAGTTCCTAACTGTTCCACTTATTACTATGTATCCCTAGAAAGAGAACTGCAGCAGAAACATCAAGGCTTCAAGCGTTATAAAAACAAAGCACCAGAAAAGAACCCACTCGGGACCAAGGGAAAGCAATAGATGGTATGCTTGAAGGCTCTGAGAAGTGTTTGTCTGTTCACTTGTGGTTACATGAGTCATGGACTTGCACACCTCAATTTCTTCTCACGTTTTGTGTGCTGTATCAGAGGGGGAGGTGATTTCGGAGCAGGAAATGTGCTCAGGCTGCTTGGTGTTGGTTGGCTGATGGAAGCCCCCTCTGTCACTTTGCTGACGATTGATTTCACACAAGAACAACCTTGCTGATACAGCGGTGCCTTTTTTTAATTCAAGCTGAAGTTACAGTCACCTTTTCCTTTGGTCCTGAATAGCGTGGCGCTAGGCTTGACCTTGTGTAAAATCTGAACCATGGCAGCAGTGAAGTTCAGTTCCAAAGGAGGCTACAGCTCTTGGGCTGATGCTGGCAGCAAAAAGTATCATCGTTATCAGAGCAGTGGAGGCAGGGAGTCAGCAAAATGGAAGCAGGGCTTGGGGCTTCAAGCACAGTTGAGAAAGAAAGGCATTTTCAAGCATCTTCAGAACGCTACCAGCTCTGACAGTAGTCCCTGCTCAAAGCAATTAGTCCTTGTAGGTTCTCAACCAATTCTGGAGTGTGGGGACAAGACAGAAATTGCTGCTATAACAGATAATGTTTCACTTCATGATCTCCTGATGTACCTTGACTGCCTTATCCACGCATAAGGAAGTGCTATCGTGCAGCTTTTTCCCGTATTGTGTGTTATTTAAATGTGGAATCTGTCCCTCTGTGTTCTTTGCAGGATGTTGTTTCTCATAGCAAAAATCTTAGCAAGAAGAACAAGGAACAGCTCTGTGACGTGATGACGCTGAACGAGCAAAAGGGAGGTTTGAAAGCTTTGAGCAAAGAGGTGAAGGAAAAGCTGGAAGCCTATCAGCATCTTTTCTACTTGAGGTATGCAGCTTTTCATTCACTGCTCTTGTCATAGATGCTTACGTGTATTGGAGCAGTCTGTGCTTATGCTCTGCAGTGTTGAGGCGCTGTCTGTCTTTGTGGTGTTGGCTTTTGTGGACACGTGCTGTATGGGAATTGCTGAGTCATGGCCTGAACCCCCGATTGATCACCTGAGGCGAGCAGTGAGTCAGGCAGAGGAGCACAGGTGAAGGCAATGCAGCTGTGCTGCTGGAAGGGGTGCAGCCAGGCTACAGCCCTCCTAGACCTGTTTAAGAGCTGGCTACCAGTGGGGAAGGATCTCGTCTGGAGATCTGCTCTGCTGGAGTTTTGTAAGTGAGCCCAGGATAGGGGTAAGCCTTCTATTTATTCTCCTTTTGTTAGTTTAGTCTGCTTTGTCAAACTCTCTTGTTTATTTCATAATGACAACATCTTAATAGTCATTGATTATACACGTGCACTAAGTACTTTTTCTTCTTGTTTTAGACTACTCCAACGTACTTGGCCAAGCTGCTTTTGCAGATGCCTCAAAACAAACCCGCAGGGTTCATGGATTCAGCCATCTTCACACTGCATAACTACGCATCCAGTCAGAGAGAGGAATCTCTGCTGTTGCAGCTGTTGCAAACAGCATTGCAGGAAGAGATCAAGTACGTTGTAGCATAGGACACAGCCTTGCTGTTGCCTGAGTTTGGGCCGCTGCTAAAATTGAAGCTGTTGTTGTGTGATGTCCCGTGCTCATTTGCTGATAATGCTGAACTGTCCCTGCCTTCTGCTCATGCTGTTTCACGTCAGTCCTTTCTGTAACCTGGAAGGAGGAGGAATTACCTTTGTTCTTTAGGATTAAAGCCATTTTTCTTTAGCCAATGCTTTGTTACTCAGGGAGGCACTATTTTTGATCTAATGCAGTGCTTTCCTAAGATTCAGTCGCATCTAAGTTCTCTGCTGTCTAGTAAGAAGGACTTGGCACAGACTGCGAGCTTGGGCTTTACAGGCCAGAGTGAAGCTGACACGAAGGACACTGTTTTCCAAAACTGATGAGGAGGCTGAAAATCAGATGCTGTCTGGTTTGGGTTTTTTACTGGCTGTCAGGCTTAAGGATTCTGGCTGTCTGTCGGCATAATTGAGTTGATTGGCACTTAGGAGTTTGGTGTTTATGACTTCTGGCTGATACGGAGCTTCACAACTTGCTAGGAAGACCAAATATGTATAATGTTGGAGGCAGTCATGCCTTTTTTGATGCTTTTAAGTATGAGGATGGTATATGCCCTCCCACAGGTAACGTCTGAAAGGTTTGTTTAATTGTTATCTTTTCTTGGAGTAGTAGTTCAGGAAAGTGCATGTCTATGCTTTATTCTCTGCTGCTGGATTTCCCATAGCGGCATGCTGTGGATGGCTTTTGTTGCTGATTGCTTACTTGTTGAAATACTGAAAGAAAATAGTTGTGCCTGTGTAGAACTCCCTTTGTTTCTTCTGTATTTTTGAGATGCGCTCTTTCAGCCGTGGTGCCCGTGGTCAGAACGCACTGAGGCAGATCTTGGCCCCAGTTGTGAAGGAAATAATTGAGGACGAATCGCTCAACGTCAGAACGGATCCAGTGGATATTTACAAGT